ACCTTATAATTTTTTTTGTATAAATATATGTTTATTCTGAAATTGGCAAACCCATACAATCTCACTGACTATAATGGTGAAAATTATAAATCAGGTTATTAAGTTATTACTAGTTTTGGTCAACCTAAATTTATATGTTTCTAAAAAGTTTTTTTTTTTTACTATTTTTGCCAAAATTTTAATACACACTTGTTCAACTCTTGTAAACAAACAAAAACGTTTTTAGTTTTAGAGAAAGCATGAAAGATTTTTGCTAAAAAGATAAATAAAACTATTATTATTACTCATTGCCAGAGGGCTGAAACAAAAAAATGTTCCAGCTCACAAGATGGGACAAAGATGATAAACAATGCACTTCCGATCAGGAACAAAACAATTAAAAGGACAAAACATTGGCAGCTCAAATACATAGCACTGTGAGGGAAACAAGGCAAACACAAAACCAGGAAATGTGTTAAGGGGACAGAGGAGAATACATCTGTAAATAGTTTTCAAACTATTAATAAACATCAGTCAATGCTGTTTTATGTAAAATCAGTTACTTAAAGGCAACATAATTCATTTGTTTAATGGCCACATATTTTCAGTTTGTAAGTCAAACAGTCGTGCAGGTTCAACTGTTTTTGAGTATAGGCTGCACATTTTAAAATGTTTTGTAAATAAACACAGTGGATATATTGGTTAAAAAATCCGAAATCAAATAGACTCATTACATAGTTGTCAATGACTGATATTGATCATCATAACTTTATGTGTTGTTTGTAATGTAAAAAATTCTCCCTTGTCTGGTCTCCATTTGACTTAAAGTTCAGATAATATCAGAAAGAAAATAGAAACAGAAGGAAACATTTAATAATAATAATAATAATAATAATAACAATGAAGAAGAAGAAGAAAAAAAATATCAGAAATTGCAATAAAGGTCTTTAGCATATTTGGTGCTTGGACCCCTAATAAGTAAATGTGTGAGGGAAACAAACTGAATGCATTTAACTTGAAAAGCCTTTATTAAACCTTAACAAGCCAGTAGCTGGTAGTTAAGTAGCTACTTATTACTACTTTATAAAGGAATATCCAAGTTCAATCAAGAATTTTCCAGAGAAGATCTGTTTGTATATGATTAAACATAATACTTTGCACAGCATTTTATGTGTATGTTGATGTGCCCTTATGAAGCCTAATAAAGCTAATAGTGGGTAACATATAAAGCAAATTAAGTAAGTACTTTATTAAGCACTGACTTGTTAATTAAGCATTTTTATTTGTTTATTATACATGATAACATTGTATGCAACACTTTCCTTTGGGTTTCTATAGAATAAGCTTATTAATGAGCTACCTAATTAGTTACTTTTTTTCTAGTTTAGTGTTTTATTTAGATTCTTATCAGTACCTCAATAGCAAATCAACTATTATCTCTAAATAAAAACTGCCTCCTCTACTCTAAAGTGAAAAACATCCACTGGTAGGCTGCCATTGTCGCACTGTGATGATGCCATATGATTGCATTTAGTAACAGACTGTGACTCTTAGAGCCAATCCTTGAGTTTGGGCTATAAATGTCAAAACACAGTTGAAACACGAGGAAAAAACCCACCTCAGTGATAATGCTAACTTCTGGATTCTAGTAGTTTGTCAGTACTAACAACAATTCACATGAGTATTTTAAACAGCTGGACAGCTGTGTCAGTAAAGCAGCTTTCTTTTGAGAGTCTGAAGTGTGTTTATATTTTGTCACACACTGAATTTTCAGGCCTGCAGGCCTTATGAGGCAATACTATGTTTGAATGCTCACTTGCTGTTAGGGCATGGTGTAATTTTTAGTTCATTAATAAGAGCATTCCATATTCCAAGGGAAAGGGTTTCATACATTCTTTATGATCTCCTAACATACAAATAAAAGTGGAATGTGTTTAATTTACTAGTCACTAAATTATAAAATATTAATTTGCTTCACAAGTTACCCACTGTTAGCTTTATTAGGTTTAATGAGGGCAGAATAACATACACATAATATTCTGTGCAAAGTATTATGTTTAATTATATACAAACAAATGTTCTCTGGAAAGTGCTTGATTCAGTTTAGATTTTTACATTGCTTTATAAAGTAGTAATAAGCAACTACTTAACTATCAGCTACTGGCTTGTTAAGGTTGAATAAGGGCATTTCTAGGGCATTATAATGTTCCCCTATACTGAACCCACTATTCTTTTAATGAAATGCATTCAGTTTGTTTCCCAAACACATTAAGTTATTAGGGGTCCAAGCACCAAGTGTGCTGTGGAACTCAATTGGAATTGTTAGTATTTTTCTTTGCCTTCTTTATTATTATTATTCTTCTTTATTATTATTATTATTATTAATAATAATAATAATAATAATAATACATATTTCTTTCAGTTTCTATTTTCTTTCTGATTTTATCTGACCATTAATCAAATGGAAACGAGACAAGGGAGAAGTTTTGCATTGCAAACAACGCATGAAATTATGATGATCAATACCAGGCATTGACACTTATGTAACGAGTGTATTTGATTTCAGATTTTTTTAACCAATGTACCCGCTGTGATTATTTAAAAACATTTACAAATATGCTGCCTACACTCATAAACAGTTGAACCTGCAAGATTGTTTGACTTACAAACTGAAAATATGTGGACATTAAATAAATGAATTATCTTGCTTCTTCTTAAGCATTTGCATTTTGCACTTTATTATTCTTTCCCCTTTTTACTCCATGTCTTCTTTAAATTCTTTTGTGCCAAAGGGTTCATTCAACAGTCTATAATTTTTTGAGGAAAATGTTTTTTTTATCCTAAGTTTAAAGGGGTTAAATGCTAGCACTATTATTGGTATTAATATATTATATAAGTAGTTGCATTGGTTATCATATTTAATTGACACTCTTTGAGGTTAAATGTGGCACTGTTATCCCAAAGATTGCTAAATTCTGTTTAGCCTTATCTGCAAAAGTGATGAAAGCTAAAAAGTCTGAAATGCGTGTTACTGCAAAGTAGTGTACTTAAATTCATGTGACTATCTCGCATCTACAGGGAATGGATGAGTATTATCGCCCTGTAAAATTCCTTCATCACCACCATACTAAGATTCAGTTGAATGACTGTTCTTAGCGTATTTATGAGTAATTTACTGTCCATATTCTTAAGAAAAAACTAATAAAAAGAAGTCGAAAATTGTACATGAAACATGCCTCAGTGTCAAAGCACTCAATGACCAAAGGAATAAAGTGAGGTCATTTTTATTTTGACTGTCCAGAAATTAGGCATTTTACAGAAAATAATATACTTTTTTTTAAATAAAAAAGAGGACTTCTATTTTGAAATACATATCTCAGTAAAATGACACAGCAGTTCATAGTAAAATAATGCAAAGCAAGTATACTTTATAAACATTGATTCAAACATTCATGGCCATGTTATGAAGTGTTTTTGTAAGATGAATAAAGTGTTACATAATTTTGTGTTACACTCATAATCCTGGTGCTTTTCCACATCTTTCCTAAACATCAGTTTACTTTTCTCCTTTAATCACTGCTTAGTACACTATCCCTCATTATCAACCTTTAAGGTTTTAGCAGGGAGCTAGCTTCCATGTGAATGTACCTTGACTGACTTGAGCTGATTTGTCCTTGTTAGCAATTATCTGTGTCATCAAAGGTAAGATAAAAATGCTAAATAACCCCCAAACATTTCCATGCCCACTGTGGCAGTATGCTCTAGCTAGGCTGCTAGACAGTTTGGGTTTTTAAGTTTGCTACTTTTTTTTCTTTATGCACATTTCAGCTGCCTGATTTTTATGTAGTCTTCATTGGGGTTCATGTTTTGCTTGTCAAGAATGGATGCATGCTTCATAAGGTAAATGTTGCATTTTGTTGGGTTCATGTTAACCCGGGTTCTCATTAGTGTGTGCGTGATCTTGCTACTGTTTCATCTTGACTGGAAAAAAAACGTTCTTATAATGGTGATTTGCCAAAACTGTGGTTAATATGCTGCCATTGTGGTGCTTCATAGGCCTTCTTTAACTTTCTGTGATAACAAAATCAAGGACCAGCCAAAAAGGTAGCCAGGTAGGGGCCCACCAAACATTTGTGTTTGGTGCCCATAAGTGCCCATAACTTGATGACCCAGGCCTATGTGTTATGATTTCTCTTCAGCTCTTGAAGTTCTAACCAACAGGAAAGGTAGCTTGGCAATATCTGCCCAGATACCATAGAGAAAAACAATTCCTGATTGGTGATTTTTCCACTGGGAAAAACCATTTAATTTGGGTTACAACTTTTCCAGTTTGTTAAAGTTTTTTAAACCTTGGAAAATATATGCACACTTGCACATCTATTCTTTTTTAAGATGGCTCTTTAGGGAACCAAACATTGTTCTTCTATGGTTCCAAGAGAACTTTGTGGTATTTTTTTTTCCAAGAGTGGAGACTAACTTGGATCTGGGTACAATTAGTACCTTTCCTGCTAGGCCAGTGGTGCTCAATCCTGGTCCTGGAGAAAAATAAGTTCCTTATGTGATGCAGTCAAAGAACCATTTTAGGTTCTCTAAAAAACCTTGAAGCAGAGAACTTTTTTTATTAATGAGATGTGTGTAAGGAACTTTTTTTAAAGTTTAAAAAAAAACACATGATGTTAAGGTTCTGGGAAAAACCATTCAATTTGGGTTACAACTTTTCCAGTTTGTTAAAGTTTTTTAAACCTTGGAAAATATATGCACACTTGCACATCTATTCTTTTTTAAGATGGCTCTTTAGGGAACCAAACATTGTTCTTCTATGGTTCCAAGAGAACTTTGTAGTATTTTTTTTTCCAACCCCAATCTAGCCCACCTGTGCTAACCTACAGGCAGTTATAAGCACATTTATAACTATTTAAAAATACATGTTTCATAGAAAGGGTTATTCCTCATGACAAATGTGGTAAGTGTGATCAGTAACAAATTAATCATGTTCAAAGTAAAACAATCAAATCACCACATAACACTCAAATATATTTTATTTACATCATATGTATAGTATGTTTTAGATGAATATTTACATAAAACCTTCCAAAAGTGCCCCCCCCCCTTTTTCCACCATGTGGAGGCTGTACTTTAGCCTGACTATCTTTAATTATTTAGCCAAAACCTAAATGTGTTTGTGTCGCCCCTACTTCCTTCAGGTATTCACCAAAACTTCAAGTGGGCTCGGAATGTCACATTTTTGAAGAATCCCATGTAAGCATAAGCCTAACCAACTGAATTCTTGAAACTGTCAGTCCAACAGGCCCCAAACAGTCATATTCAATATACAAAACGAGGTGTACTATGATGTGCTGGAGGCATTTAATATAATATATGATGACCAGGGTTAGTTTGAATTTAAATCTGTAATTTTTCTGAAGATTTTAGTGCAAAATAACTTTTGCACAGGCCACTTGTTATGTTTCTAATGTTTTGTCTTTCTTATATGTAAGTATTTGCACACGATGTATATATACAGTAAGATATTTAAATGGAGGATAAATTTCAAGAAAATAAGTGCAAAGTTCAAAAAGTTATTACAAAATACAGAGAAAATGGAAGACCATCAAAACTGTCATCATTAGATAAACAGCACTTAAAGCTTTCATCTTTCTAAGAGAGAATAAAATCAAGCTCCACTCTTGCTTCGGGTCTGAAAGACTCCACAGGTGTTTCTGTCCATCCTTCCACTGTGTGAAGACAAGTCAGTGCTGTGGGTCTGAAAGGATGAGTACCCATCAAGAAACCATTACTAAGAAAAAAAAAATACACTAGAACAGCAAACATGAACATTTGAGATATGGAGTAAGGTTTAAATGTGTAATTGTAATTACTTGTGATTACATATGTGATTAACTGTGAGAAGCAGGAAAAAGCTCATTCATTTTGGACTCTTCCACATGTGGCCTCTTCTATCTAGTGAATCCATCTGATGAAAGATGAGATTATGTGTGAATTCTCCTGAACTAGAAGTGAATGAGTCATTCGGAAAGTCTTTTTTTGTTTTAAATTCTGGTCACAAGCCACCACAGGAAGATGATTCTGTTCATGAATTCTGTTCAGACCCAATATCCTGGATTATGGACTCGCTTCTGAAAATGGGATGTGTCTCCTAGTGACCTCTTCAGGTGCTGGACTGTCCGTGTATGACCATTTCTTTGTGATGAAACAGAAAATGTTTCCCTAAAGGTTTGTTTATGACATACCCGGATCCAGCCTTGTGGTGTTCAGTGCCATGCCTTGACCAGAGTTATATTCTTGGTCAGTGTAACCTGGGGCCATCCACTGCATATTCATTTTGCATCCCAGGAAAAGATAGATCACTGGGTTGATGAAAGAATGAGCTGCAGCCAGCACAGTCGCGGTTGGTAATCCATATTTGAAAAATTCATATTTTTTTCCAGTAATCTGAAGAAGCCCCAGAAAAAGCAGGGGCATCCAGCAGATGAAGTAAGCCACCTTTATTGCACAGGTGACCCTTTTCAGGCTCCCATCCAGATCACGACTCTGCCGTCGTGCCAGACAGGCACTCATGGTCATCATGAACGCTGGAAGCAAAATCCCTAGCAGGAACCTGCTGAGAACAACAATGGTGAAGTTTTTCATGCCATAGTCTGTTGTCTTCTGTTTGTCCATATCATAGTCATCGATGCACTCCTCTCCAAGTTCAGTATAGCGAAGCTCTCGGGAGAGCAGAGACGGGCTGCTAAGGACAGCCCCGAATGTCCAGGAACTCAGAACCAGGACCAGGGACGTGCCATGTCGGCTGCATTTACCACAAAGCCCCATACAGCAGCTGCCGATGCTGCTGCTGACACTCCACAGGCTGAGCAGAGCAGCTGTGGAGAACATGCTGGCGTAGATAATGTAGGATGAGATCTTGCACAGAGCCATTCCATAGTGCCAGTTGAAGTGGTGCCAAGCATAGAGGAACTGCAGCACCAGGAATGCAGAGAAGACCAGGTGGGTCACGGCCAGGGCAAGGATCCACACGCTGGGTGTGGACTTCTGAACCTTATGGTACATGTAGCAGCCTGTGATAATCACGTAACAGTTGAGAGTCACGCCGAGGGTGCAAACGATGACGTACACAATGACGTATTGCATCCTGATGTGGTTTAGGAACACAGTCTGTACTTTAGGGCTTTCACTCGGACCCGCTAATTCATCATAAGTGTAGTCTGTCATATTGGAGTCCATCTTGGGAAGTCTGAAAAAGGTAATGCAAACATGTAAGTGGGACAAATTAGTGTCTTTTAGCTGTTCCAGAACACTGTCATTAGTCTCGGGGCAGATTTACTACCTTACCAAACGTTCAAATCATATAATTCTCAACATAGTGGGAAGCTGTCAGTGAAAGTAAACAGGAACTTTACAATATCACACAAATGCTAATTGCACTTGGCACCAAAAAAAAATGTTTTTGTCTCAATTTTGTATTTATTATGTTGAAATAATATATTATTTTCCATACTGTCAAAATAATCACACACTATTTCAAAAAGTAATAATTTCTTCTTTAGTTGTTAGTCATTATTCTAAATCAATACCTCAAGAAAATAAGTCATTATATCAACATAATGAGTTACAGTTTGACCTACTGGACTGTGCCCAATAGTACACTAATTAATGCGCTTCAAATTTTGGTGCACTATTTTGGTGCACTTCCTGCCGGAGACCAGTGGACTTCCATACAAACAGCATGTCAGAAAAATATGGTTAAAATGCACAAGTTATACACTACATGACCAAAAGTATGTGGACACCTGACCGTCACACCTGTATGAGCTTTTTGAACATCTCTGGGAGTGTGTCTCTGGGAATCTGTGCCCATTCAGTCAAAAGAGCATTTGTGAGGTCTGACAGAGATGTTGGACGAGAAGGCCTGGCTCACCAATTCATCATAAAGGTGTTCAGTGGGGTTGAGGTCCAGGCTCTGTGCAGGCCACTGGAGTTCCTCCACACCAAACTCATCAAACCATGTCTTTATTGACCTCGGTTTTTGCACAAGGGCCTTCCCCAAACTGTTGCCATAAAGTTGGAAGCATGCAATTGTCATTGTAGACAATTTTAGAGTTCCAATGGTAATATTAATGCTACAGCACACAAAGACATTTTAGTCTTTGTAGCATTAGTTGCAATGAACAGTAATGTTAAGGGACCCAAACACTCAAAAGCAGCTGTTGATCATTATCCCTCCTCCACCAAACTTTACTGTTGGGACTATGCATTTTAGTTGGTAGCACTCTCCTGGCATCTACCAAACACAGTGAAGCATGATTCATTATTTCAGGTAATGGTGATTTTTACATGCTATGTGCTTTAGTAGATAGCACATATTATAGACATAACTAACTCTGAGTTGCATCAATATTACAGTGTAAAGTGCATAGTGAAAATGTCATTACAGTAATAGTTGTGATATATTGCACAGTGTGTATTAATCAGAGAGGAGATACAGGGATATGGTTCAGCACAGTTCAGATAGCAGAGATCAGTACCATCTCTGTGGTAAGGAGACTCATTGTAGAGCCTTATAGCAGTGGGTAAGAATGATCTCACACAGCACTCTTTAATACAGCGCAGCTGTAACAGCCAGCCACTGAATGTTCTTCTCTGTTTATCTAGTGTAGCATGCAGAGAGTGTGAGGGGTTGTCCTCTGTTCTGCCACAACCTCCAAAGAGTCCAGCTTGACTCCTACAACAGAGCCAGCCTTCCTAATAAGTTTGTTCACTTTGTCCAGAGCACTTTTGTTAATGCTGCTGCTCCAGCACACAACAGCATAGAATAGAGCACTCTCTACAACAGACTGGTAGAATGTCCATAGGAGCTTAGTGCACACACCAAAAGACCTCAGCCTCCTCAGGAAGTAGAGACGGCTTTGGCCTCTCTTGTACACCATGAGAGTGTTACAGTTCCAGTCCAGCTTGTTGTCAAAGTGCACACCCAGATATTTGTAGGTCCCGACCACCTCCACATCAACTCCATCAATAGTGACTGGTGACAACACAGGTTTGGACTTCCTAAAGTCCAGCACCATCTCCTTAGTCTTACTGATGTTTAGCTGCAGCTGGTTCAGCTTACACCAGTCAACAAAGTCTTTCACTATTTTGCCAATGGAAGCATTTTTAGAACGACATGTTTTATGCGACATCCTTTTCAAAACCATCATACAACAATGCCTCAGACAACAGGTAGCTTATTAATAACCGTATCTTTATGTGAGGGAGCTTTTAGAGACATTCAACTCTTCAGAGGTCTGGTTCCTACCATTACTGTGAACACTTCAGAGTTGGTACGTTTCTCTGAAATGGAACATTTGACACTAAACCACTCTGAATTACTTTGATTATGTCTTGAGCATTTATTCATGCAGAACATATGGAATATCATTGGAATTAAAACTCTTCAGACGTCTGGCTCTTATCACCACCACTGTGAACAGTTCTGACTAAAAAGGATTTCTCTAGAATGACACTTCAAACCACTCTGGATAACTTTGTTTATATGTCTTAGGCATTTATTAATGCAGAACATTTGAGATATCGGTGGAAATCCTCTTTAAACTCTTTGAACAGGACACCTCAAATTACTCTGAATAACTTAGGCTACATCTTAATGACAGAGTTATGCAGAAGTTATCACAGGGTACATGGAAAGAGGAAACAAAAGCAAATTCTAACATCTGCTGAACACATTTTGGACACAATCTCAGTTCTCAGGTAAACATGCAATCTGCAAAATGCCTAAAACGTTCCTTGGTGAGACTTGGCACAAGTCACGGACATTTTTAGTGGTGTTTACGGGAAGAATGTGTTACATCACACAGTACTGTAAACTGGTCAGAGTTTCCATGCTAACCCCCGTTCACTGTTGAAAGTGTGTGCAATTAGTAAGCGAGTATCGGAACTGGACCTCGGAGCAATGGCAGAAGGTTGCCTGATCTGATGAGTCTTGTTTTCTTTTACACCACTTGGATGGCCAGGTACATGTGCAGCGTTTACCTGGGGAAGTGATGGCACCAGGGATGCACTGTATGAAGAAGAAAAGCCAGTGGAGGGAGTCTCTTGGAAATTTCTGCTGGGAAGCCCTGGGTCCAGACATTTATCTGGACGTCAGTTTGACACATGCCACATACCTAAGTGTCTTTGTGGACAAGGTATATTCATTGCAATGGTTGTCCCTGCCTATTTCAGCAGAGTTTAAGGTGTTGCCCTGGCCTCCAAATTCCCCAGATTTCATTCTAATCAAGCATATGTGAGAATTTCAGCTCTAATTTGAGGGTATTTGCATTTAAATCAGGTGAATTCATCATGTTGCTCTGGTTTCGTTTTGGCAAAGTCACATGACAGGCACATTTGTTTTAGAAATGTGAACATTTTCAGATTTGCTTCAGCTCACTGCAAATTGGCCTTTAGCAAAAGAATACATATTTTACACACATATTTTATTCGTTAACAGGATTTCAATTTGAAAAAAATTGGGACAGTAAATAAACTGCAAGTGAAAAAACAACAGCAATGATTTGCAAGTCCTTTTAGACCTGCAACATAACAAAGAGAAGATATTTAATGTTACAACTACTACATTTTATTGTTGTTTTATATATTAAATTTTATACATTTGTTCCAAAAAGGTTGGTACAGAAGCATATTTGCCACTGTGTTATGTCACCTTTCCTTTTAACAATATTTAGTAATTGTTTTGGGGAATTGACAACAATTATTGCAGATGATTGCAAAGTAATTATCCTATTGTTCTTGATTTAACACTTAAGCTTCTCATAGGCTGTCCTCAGTTGCACTTCATAATGCACCACATATTTTTTAATGAGTGACAGGTCTGGACTGTAGGCATGTCCTCTTGTAACATGTGCAGAATGTGGTTTGGCATTGTCTTGCTGAAAAACATATAGTCCGTATTTCAGTACATGTTGCTCCAAAATGTGTATGAAGCACTCAACCATTAAGAGTGCACCAATAAAGGTGCTTTCACAGATGTGAAGCTTACCTTTGACACTAACCCACCGCCATACCATGACAGACTTTTGTAATAATCAGGATTGTCATTTACAACTTTAGCCCAGAGATTATTATCTCCATAAACAATTGAAAAGCTTGACCACAATACACATTTCCACATTGCGTCAGTCACCTCAGATGAACTTTAGCCCAGAGATATCTACAGTGTTAGTGTGACATAAAGCCCTGGGTAACACTTTACTCGAAACCCCGCTACACAACATTGACGTAATCTTCCAATAAACATGCCATCCCATGTGAAAAAAGAAGCACACTTAAGTACATCAATTGTACACTTGGAGTATATGTAAGAATAATAAAAGTAATTTTTTATTTCAGGTATTTTATGGAAATTTAACCTCAAACATGTTTTTTTCTGTATTTTTCAGTATATTTCTAAAGTAAAACTTTCACTCTCTGAGTAATGCATTAGTAATGTCCACAAATTACATCCTTAAATCTACTTTAGTGCAGCTTAAACTCTATAAAGCAAACAATGCATTTAAAATATACTTAGTCAAAGTACAATTTAAACACATTTTCCTGTATGTCTTTCCAAATTAATACATTCAGGATGTGTTAGAACATGTTTAAAGTGTAAACAACGTCTCATATTAAATACACTTAAATACATATTAAATACACTCAAATGCCATTTTCTTTGTCAATGGTACATAAAATGTGCCATGTTTCATAGGCTGCCCAGACATTTGCACAAATGTATGTCATGACTGTTCCCAGTACTGGTAATATGACACTGTTTTCTGACTAGACATATTCTGGCATGATGTTTAAACGCTATTATGATGTAAAGACAATGTAGCAATGTTCAAGTAAAGTGTCTCCAAGCTCAGTTAGGATGCTTTTTTGACCTTACATGCAACAAACCAAGCACAAAGATCTTCTTACCTCAGGCAAATGAACCAAGTCTGAGAGAAGCAGCCTGTGGTGTTTCGTTTCAGAAGCTTGAAGTACAAGTCTGCAGTGCTTGTATAATTTGCAGGGGCTTTACTCCCAACAATAACTCCTCCCAGCTCATACCCCCTCCCCCCCTCCCAACCTTGGGATAGGGGAGCATTTAGACTGAAGATTCCACTCCCTTTCACTTGGTCTGTTGGGCTGAGTCCAGAGTACCTCAGTTGAACCAGTAAGTCTTTTGTCACAGCTGCATTTGCACTGACACATTGCCATTCCTTGGAAGCAACCCAGTCCAATTCAAATGACTATACTTTTAATGTCACTTTTCATTGTTGAAAGACATGTACTGTATGCAATAGGGATGTTTCAATACAAACAAAATAAAAGCAATTTTTTTTTTACTTTCGGTTTCAGTATGAAACGTTTTATAATAAGAAACACATGTGAAGGTCCACTTTCCCACACCAGCCCTTGAGCTCTAACAGACCCAGCTAGTCCTAAAAAAATGGGTATTTACAATTGATTGGCAGGAAGATTCCTCAACTGGGATGCCATTTGAGTCCTACAAACCCAATTACAAACCCAATTCCATTAAGGCTGCGATAGTACACAGCAAACATCTGTAGATGTATTGGTGTTAATTTTCCAGTGAAAATTATGTTGTGTTGATGGGTGTTGATTTGGGTGTCATTTGAGTACCTGCTGGGCCAAAATGACTGTGGGGGTGGTGAAGTTGAGTGCATACACTCCTGACTGAGTAGATTACACAACCGGTTTTAACCGGTCTTGAACTCACAGTGAAGGCTGAGGAAAGTTTCTGGAATATATGATTGAAAAAAAAATCTAAGAACCAAATACATTGACTTTTACAGGTCATTAATTGTTATATTAAATTATCGGTCAGCGTCAAGTGGGGGGCGGGGGTTGTGCCACGATTGATGTATCATTGAAGCTGGTGAATACTAGCTAATATTAATTTAGGTTTGCATGCTAGCTAGCTAACTAGCAGTTAACAGTACATTGGTCAATTAATAAGGGGCATGTTTTTCTCCCATAGAACATTAAATGTACAGCTGAACTTTTTATGGTGTGTTTCAATGTACTTTGTAACATTACTAGCTTGTTAATTTAACACTAAAGTTACTTAACACATCACTTTTTCACCTAATGGTGGATTATTTAACTAAGGTTTTAGGCAAATGTTGGCGCTAGGTTAAGAGAACATAGCTAACTGCTAGCTATCGAACATCATCAAATTATTTTAACTGCCTCCACAAAGCTGCTGGATGGAGAAGAAAAAGCCAGGGGATGTAAAGTCAGTGGGTTAATATAGGTAATAGCCACATTTTTTTCAGATAAGTGCAGTTTGTTCGACTGAAATTAAGATTTTGTGACCCGGATATTTAGCTGTTTATTGACATTTTAATCTTTAGAGAGTCTGACAAACAGTGGTCACTGATGACCCTTTTTACCCAGTGGCATACTGGCACCAAAAATAGCTTGGAGCTCATAGTGGTGAGGTCAAACATATCCAGTGTTGGAGGGCAGATCTAGCATTGGGTTAACATTAGTATTGAAATAGCCTTTTTAGTGTAATTTGGCTGAAATTGAAACTCCTTGCACCTGTAAAAGTTAAACTAGGTTTCCCCACTGTGTGCAGTTTTTGTAAGATGTTATCATGTTGCTGGAGATAAAATACTAGAGTACCAAGAAGTACATCAGATTGCAATCAGGTTTCAACTGTTTGGAATTCATCACTAAAGGTGAGTAGCTATCTTGTGTAGCACAAGTTTTCACTTGGCATAGTTATTTCAAGCTTTTTTGTGCTGTGCATGGTGTATTGGAACATTAGATTGTAATAATGTATTAATATTATTATTGTACTAGTGGTGATTTCTGTCTTTTGACTGTTGACAGTAGTATTACCAGTGTTAGTCACTACAGGGCAGTGTGCTTCTTGCTGCATGCCTATTTGGTTTATTTTGACATCCAAAATACACAGAAAAACTATTTCAAAATGAATATTTGTATGTTACTTCATGAGACAGTTTTCAAATTCCTTCATCTGAATTCTTTTGCTTCTTGGTTGTTTGGCTTAAAATGAATGTGTTTCTATACTTGAGAACTTTTGAAATAGTTTTTGCCATTGCAGCAAGAAACAGTAGCAGTTAAACCAACGACTAGTGGCACTTCTAGTGTTCAACTCGCATGTAAAAGTTACTCTTTTGTCTTGTATACTGTAATGACCAAACTGTTATATCACAATACTGCTTCTAACAAGTGAAAGGAATGTACAATTTTAGATTAGTTTAGAGTTAAATTGGTTCATCAGTCATTCATTATGTGCAGTTTTAAACCTGCTTCAGGTACATTATGGACAAAGGTATTGGGACACCTACACATTACGCCTACATGAGCATTTATGACATCCCATTCTAAATCCATAGGCATTAATATGGAGTTGGTCCCCCTTTGCAGCTATAACAGCTTCCACTCTTCTGGGAAGCTTTCTACAAGATTCTGTAGTGTGTCTGTGGGAATGTTTGCCCATTCACCCAGAAAAGCATTTGTAAGGTCAGACACTGATGTTGGATGAGAGGGCCTGGCTCACAATCTCCATTCTAGTTCATCCCAAAGGTGTTTGATAAGGTTGAGGTGCAGGCCACTCAAGCTCTTCCGCACCAAACTCACCCAACAATGTCTTTATGGACCTTGCTTTGTGAACTGGGGCTCAGTCATGCTGGAACAGAAAAGGGCCTCCCCCCAAACTGTTCAAACATAGTTATAGTATACAAGCATACAATTCCCCAAAATGTCTTGTTAAGCTGAAGCTTTAAGATTTCTTTCACTGGAACTAAGGGAACTAAACCAACCCCCTGAAAAACACCCTCATAGCATTATCCCTCCTCCACCAAACTTTACAGCTGGCACAATGAAGTCAAGCAGGTAATGTTCTCCTGGCAATTGCCAAACCCAGACTCGCCCATGAGACCATTAGATAGAGAAGTATGATTTGTCACTCCACAGAATATGTTTCCGCTGCTCCGGAGTCCAGTGGTGGCGTGCTTTACACCACTCCATCCGATGCTTGGCATTAGTGATGTAAGACTTGCATGCAGGTGCTCTGCCATGGAAACCCATTCCATGAAGCTCCTGGCACACAGTTTTTGTGCTGATGTTAATGCCAGAGGAGGTTTGGAACTCTGCAGTCACTGAGTCAGCTGAGCTTTGGTGACTTTTATGCACCCCGGGACCCCACTCTGTAACTTTACGTCGCTTGCCACTTTGTGGCTGAGTTGCTGTGGTTCCTAAAAGCTTCCACTTTTCAATAACACCACTCGCAGTTGATCGTGGGATATCTAGGAGAAATTTTGCAAACTAGTTGCAATGGTGGCATCTTTTCACAACACTACGCTCGAATTCAGTGAGCTCTTTAAAATGACCCATTCTTTCACAGATGTTTTTTAAAGGCAGACTGCATGGCTAGGTGCTTGATTTTATACACCTGTCTCAATGGGACTGGATGAAACACCTGAATGATTATCAAGTCATCTCTGTGGCACCCCTGAATAGCATATTTCTAGCAGGGCACCCTCACAAACATAATGTCACTTCCTTCAAGTGGCAATGACTTCTCCACTCAATGAGAACAGGCGATTTCAACAGGCAGAAATGTATTCAGCTCTGAAGTCATGAAGTCTACCACACAGATTTCTAAGGGAGAAGCTGCAAAAGAGGTACTTGAGACCAGTGGATATTTGTAGCACTATGACAGCAGTGGATATTTGTAGCACAGCCTGTGCTACACCAGGAGGAGGAAGGACATGGCAGGCAGGGGAAACGACAGCACAAACCAAAACCAAATAATAAATGAAAACGAAAGCTGGCCACTTTTCAGTGGCTTCAAAGCTAGACTTTTTATTCCCTTGCAGCTACACACGTTTTCCAGCATGTCAGGCTTCTGTGTCTACCGCACATCCCCCTCTCTCTCACTGTGTTTTTCCTCTCTGCTTCTTTTAAAGGCATCCATAGCCGAATCTGTGTCAGCTGGCTTTCATTAAGGCCATAGCCCCAGATGAGAGCAGTTAGACTCAGAATGCTCCATTATTGGTTGTTTAGACGTTTGTTGGGACTGTGTTGCAGATTCGGTGTTCCTGCTGGCTGATTGAAAAGCAGAATGATGCTGTTGAAATTTAGTTAACTGTCTAAAAGTCAAGTGGATATGCATTTGTATGAATACTGAAATGACTTATTCTACCAGCTCTTCCGCTCTTACATCAACCGAACTTAAAGGTGTTTCTGGCAGATTCACTTTTTTCAGATAAAAATGTAATTAATAATTTATAGATGAGGGTCTAAGCTGGTCCAGTGATGCTGATAATTGGTTCTATTCTCACATATTCATTAGAAACAATGACCGTTTTCATATTATTTCAGTGATCAATTATCCTCAGTCAACAAAGGGCTCACGAGATCATAACTTTTTTCGTTCATCGGGCCATCCGATTTTCACCCAGACATGTTTTTAATCTTGTTGGTGGTAAGGTCACATTTAAAGATCAGACAGGGCTCATTTTTACATCAGAAAATATTGTCATTTCATGCAACATTGTTGTTTTATATTTAATTCATAGAAAACTATTCATATCGTGGCATCAAGGCATGCCTGAGTTTAGTTTAGTCATTCTGTTCTGTAGCATTAATTTAGCCTTATTGTTTTTGAGACTCATTTTGGGATTTTTTTGGAGAGCCAAGCCATTTCATAGCACTGAGATAAGCACTGAGTTTTAAACAAGTCAAACACAAAACGTTGCAAAGAGTGCGGACCTGCTAGAGTTAAGTCTGTTTGCTACATTTGTTTTAGACTAATGATAAAGCATGTAACAGAACGCCCACCCTTTTAGAGCTAAGAGCTAAGTTAAATCCCTACTATTTGGAGTTGGTCCAGGGTGCAGGAATACATACTTGGCTCGGCCACCGGGATCAAACATCAAACAAGTCTGTTAGAGTGGCCTCGCTGCGGGACAGGAGGTGATGCCCAGGAGGCAGGGCTCTCAGCACAGGCATTGTTAC